TGAGCTTGCAGGCCCCCATCAGGAGACCATCAGGAGACTACCAGGATGCTAACCCAGTGCTGGGCACAGTTGGGGAGGGGTGGGAACATTGCTGAACAGTGTGACCATGAGCCAGCACAAGCCAAAATCAAAGTGGCTCTGTCTGTGGATGTAGATGAGGTGGCCCTGTGCCTGTAGAGGCACCTGAAGGAACCCAGTGCAATCCTGGGAACTCCAGGGACTCGCCCGCCTCCTGGGCCTCGAGGCCCTTCACCAGCTCCTCACTAAAGCCAGCGAGGAGGGAACAGACCCAGCAAGTGAGAAGCAAGAGAGGAAAGAGCAGAAACAGACCCCCAGGCCTTGGGTACAGAGCACTCGGCATGTGCAAAACAGCTCTGCCTGCTCGAAGCTCAGAGAGATCAAGCCAGACTGCAAACTCCACAGTAGACAGGAAGCTATAAAAATGGTGTGCTGGCCAGGCACCGTGGTGCACGCCTGTAATCCCAGGGGCTCAGGAGGCTGAGGCAGGAGGATCGAGAGCTCAAAGCCAGCCTCAGCAACTTAGCAAGGTCCTTAGCAACTCAGCAAGAGCCTGTCTCTAAATAGGGCTGCAGATGTGGCTCAGGGGTTAAGCACCCCTGGGTTCAATCCCCAGTACAAATAATAATAATAATAATAATGCACTGATTTGGTTAAAAATAAAAAGTAACAATTAAAATCATTTATTGAATTCTAAATTTCCTAGTATGTTCGATTCAATAGAAGGAGAAGCAGCCGAAGATGCAACACAGAGATGAGACTAATGCTAATAAATTTAAGTTTTGACAAGAGGAACTCATACAACTGACTCAAGAAGAAAAGCTCTAAATGAACCTGTGACCACTCGAGAAGCTGAATCATCCGTGGGAACTCTTCCCACAAATAAAGCCTCAAGTCAAGAAAAATTCTCCAGTGAATCCTCTTCTTCCCCAAATAGCACGAAGAGGAGAGCACTGCCCCCAGCAGGTGTGACAAGGACGACAGGGAAAGGGACTGGAGGCCAGCCTCACTGGGGAACGTGAATGCAGGCAAAGGTCAGCAAACTCGGCCACAAAGAAAGGATAACACCGCGTGACCAGGGTGGAGCCCGGGAACCAAGGCCCGCCGGTAAACACTCAAAACAAAGCAGAACGTTACCCCATTACATTAAAGACAAACCCCCGACCTCTGTGCGTGAGGAGAGGACAATGTGAGTTCAACATGCACATGATTGGAAACCTCTTCAGCACACGAGGAGGGAAGGAATCGCCTTTCACCTGGTAAAAGATGCCTGCAAAATCCCTACTGCACAATCGTGCTTAATAACACAACGTTGACAGTGTTCCTTTGAAACTGGGGACAGAAGAGGAGGCCCAGGCCCCCACAAGTACGCCACGTTCACTGGAAGCCCTAGCAGGTGCAGTGAGGCCAGGAAGAGCCAAAATCTGGAGAGGAAGAAACTGAGGGTGACATGATGATGAGCTGGTAGATGCAGGGGACACGCAGACAAGCCCCCCGCCAGGATGTCCCGCAAAGTCACCAAACGCTGTATAAAAACCAATGCACAAAATAGTTCCACGTCTACATAACAGCAACCAACATTCACAAACAACGAAAGAAAAAAGGTGCTACTTACAATGTCATCAAAAATACGAAATGGGGCTGGGGATACAGCTCAGGTGGTGGTGGGCTTGCCTTGTGTGCACAAGACCCTGGGTTCAATCCCCAGCACCACCAAAATATTTATAAATATATATAATGCCTAGGAATACATCAACCCAAGTGTTTGTGAAGGATTCGATGTCTATAGGAAGCACAATAAGATTTTGAGCCACATTAAGAGTATTTAAACAAGCGAGATAAGGTGTTAATGGGTGGCAATGCTTCACATCACAAATACGTGAACGTTCCCAGGCTGGTCCATAGAGCCAAAAACTGCTCAGAGGGCTGTCACCTGTGGAACCCACGATGAGCTGGGGAGGCTGAGGTGTGATTGCAAGAACCAATGGCTGCCAAACGGTTCTTGAAGGGAGGGTTAGAGAACTGCCCGCCCAAACAGGAGCTGCTTAAAGACGCTGCTGTGAGGGTGACGGTGCGGAGCTGGAACGGGGACAGGCAAACTCAGAAGGGAGCGCTCAGAAAGCCCCCCAGACGGTGGGCACCACGTGGGCTCAGCAGGGAAAGCGCATGTTGATAAATGATGCTGCAACGACCGCGTGCCGCTGGGATGAGCAAAGACCCTGCACCCGCCTGGCACCCAGCGTAGGTCAACTCCAGGAGGAGGAAGGACCTGAATGTGGAGAAGCAAACACCAGGTGGGCACCGGCTGGTGCTTCTCGAAGCACTTCCTAAAACAGACCAGCATCCCAAACAAGCAGAACGCCCTCCAGGACAGAACCCGCAGGCTCTCTCCTGCTGTCCTGGGTTTGATCTGCCCCTGGCCACCTGCCATGAAGAGACCAGGGTCTCTGCCCCCAAGGGCACCATGAGCGGAGCAGAAAGACGGCCAGGGAGGGCGGGAGAGGCGCAGGCGACTAGCCCAGGACAAATCCTGCTGCACAAAGACCCGTAAACCAGCACGTTCAAAGAGCAAAAGCTCAAAGGCAAAATATGGGCCAGAGATGAACAGGCGCCTTCTAAACAGGAACTCTGGGTACGGTGAGCACGGGCAGAGAGCGGGCCACACCAACACCCACCACCCACGCCACGCCCCGGTATGCCCTCACAGCCGTTCCAGAGCCTGGGGAGCTCCCATCAAAAGCTGGTGTGAGTGTGAGTTTGCAAACCCCTGGGAACCACCTGGAACCTTCTCTCACATTAGTGGGTGGATTCCCTTCAGCCCTCAGATGCTGAGAGGTGAGAACACTACAGCCAAAAGCCTGCCCCAGAACACACGGCCACGCCACCTGGGGCGTCCCCAGGTGAAAATAAGCCACCCTACAGCGAGGAGGGCAGCTCATAAAGGAGGTGCAGGGGCGTGGAGAACCCACAGGACTAAGGAGGCAAGAGGCTGAGGGTTGGGGAGCATGATACGCACCCACAAGCAGGTCAGGTTGAACTGTTTATGAATGAAGACCCGAAGAAGAAGGGACACACAGTCAGCACTTGACGGGACAGTGGCGGGCTCGGGGCAGGACGGGCTGCTGGTTAAGGGGGGTGGGGCACTGGGGCAGGCGACATTGCTCTTCTGGACCTGATGGGAGGTTAGGATTTTTGCATTAGAGGCTCCTTAATTTACGATGGGGTCAGGTCCAGATAACCCCATGGAACAGTGAAAATGTCACAAGTAGAAAATGCATTTGCTACACAGACCTACCAACATCCTGGCCGAAGAACAGCCCTCGCCATGGCGGGCTGAGGTGACCTGCAGCTTGCTGCCTCTGCCCAGGACCCAGAGAGGACCACACCACAGACCACTCACCCAGGAACAGAAGGTCAAAATTCAAACCTGCAAGGCCAGTGTGAGTGGCTATGGCTGTCACCCCACGGCACCCCTGCAGATCCTGAGTCTATCACCGTGAGTTGGGGACCATCTCTTTAAAACTGTCCGTGCATGTGCAGTCATTCTAAGTCATGAGACTTATCGCAATTCAAATCTACGTCCCCTTCACTGTCTTCTGAAAGGTCAGGCCCAGCGGTAGGGAAGGGGATTTCCCAGCTGCTCTCACAGGTCAGCCAGGTGAGAAGCAGAGCGGGCGGGCGGCAGAGGAGGCCTGGCTCCCAGCTCCAGCCGGGCACTCGGGGCTGCTGCAGCCTCTCCTGACTGACACAGGAAATGAGCAAGAGCGTGCAGAAGCCCATCACCCCCCGGCAAGTAAGGGGTCAGGGAGGAGCCTCCAGTCCTAGGCCTGGGAACCGGCTGCTTGGAGATCCCTCCCATAGGTGGGGACAAGGAGAAACCCAGGGGTCACGTGGCCGGAGGGAACGCACTCCATTGGGGCTGTTATTGGGGGTGTCTGTTGGACATGGAGCTGTTGACCTCAGGCTCCTGGGTCTGGAGTTCAGGGAGACCTAAATCTGGGAGTCAGGGGATCAGCCAGGGTCCCAGCGGGAGACAGAATCCCCCTAAGGTTCCCATCACGAAGGAACTGCTTACAGAGGAAAAGCGGAGATGAGAGAATCAGTGGGAGAGCAGTGGGGACCCCAGGGCCATGGGGGGACCCGGTGACTCCATCCTGCCTGCGGGAGCCTGGGCAGAGCAGGGGCGGGGGCAGGGCAGGTGCTGGGTCCCCTGGTCTCACCAAGTGGTGCTTCCTGTTCAGACGGACGGCACTCAGTGACTGTCAGGGCCAGGCCCGGCACGTGCTCAGGGGCCACAGAGGCAGGAGCCAGGTGGGGACATGCATGTGCCCAAAGGCCAGCTCTGGAGTTGGAGAACCTGGAGACGAGAGCCTGGCCTGCCACCGCCTGCCTGGGAACCTGGGGCTCCCTCCTCTGGTCCGTGGCCCCTGTTCAGAGATGGGGAGGAGGACATTCTGCCCCACAGCTGCCTGGAGGCAATCAAGTCCAGGAAGGCATCCGCTGACCAATGGGACAGTGGGGAGTTCCCACTGGGGCCCCTGGCATCCCTGCCACCTAAGTGGGACAGTGGGTCAGGATTTGAAGCTTTAGCCTTTGCTCCCACTAGGAGGAGTGGACGGGACAGCCCAGCCCTGCTGTCCAGCAGAGAAAGCAGAGAAGCTATCCGTGCTGTGCAGCACGTGGGGATCCTCGCAGCCCTGGGGTGGGCAGGGGAGGGAGTGCAGGGCACTGGCTGGCAGGGGGGGAAGCACAGCTTCACACCCCTGGGATGGCGGGTGGTGAGGGGAAACAGGAGGAAGGCCAGGGAGGCCCTGGCCTGGATTATCTGAGGACGGGGCGTGGCAGTGAATCTGCGTGTGGAAAGGACCTGGGGGAGGCCCTGGCTCAGTGGGGCTCTGGGATTCTTGGGGCCTGAAGACAGGGACTCTGGTGCCCTTGTCTGGCCCAACAGTCACTGGAGCAGAAAGTTCCGGAGGCTGTGGCCTGCCTGCTGGGCCTTGGCTGTGGCCCCCGGCTAGACGGTGCCATCAGGAGGAAGAGCGCTGGGCTAGACTGGCCCAAGGTCTGCTCCCTGCCCCCACGGGCCTGGTTCCCACTCAGGCCCTTGTAGCAGGAGGGACGGTGAGTGTCCTCCAGCCACACAGTCCCAGCTGGGGTGACAAGAGCTCTGAGAGGCACTGTCCTGGGAAACCCGGCCGTGGGCTGATGGGTGCGGGGCCGCCCTAACAGTGCAGGTTGGGCACGGAGGCGCCAGGGCCACACCCAGCCCCACTGCACTGACCCCGTGGCCGCAGCTGGCCTCTCCCAGGAGGTCACAGGCAGGAATGCGGCTATAAGTCCACCCCCTGCTGGCCCTGCAGCTCGCTTTGTAACAGCCCAGGGATGTCCCCAAGGCCCCACAACAGCTGGGCCCTGTTCTGCTCGACTCTCAGCTCTCAGCTCACGATGAGTCAGCCCGGACGGGCTTCCCACAGGCCAGCTGGCCAGCAAGGGCTGCAGATGCCACGTCCCCACCTCCAGCCTTCCCTCAACCCAAGCTGCTCCACTGAGAACCCACACCCCAAGGTGGCCTCCCAGGAGCCGGGGTGGTTCCAGAGCCTCGTGGCTCTACCCTAGACAGGGATATGGCCCAGGGGACTGTCCATGGTCATCCCCATGAACCCTCTGGCTGCAGCTGGCTCACTGCTCTGTGTGGAGAAAGACAGCCTGACCTTTGGGAGCCCCCTGCAGAGTGGACGGCATGGAAGCTCAGAGCCTTAGGCAAGACCCTCTGTCTCCCCCAACCCCGGCCCACCCCTCCCCTGCACAGAGCAGAGCCCGAGCTGCTCCTGGCAGGAGGAAGGAGGCAGAGCAAAAGTTAAGTCATGCCAGGAGTGGACAAGGAGGGGCCCAGGTGGCCTGCCCAGCATGTGGGCAGATGGAGGGACAGGCACTGAGCCCGGGGCCCAGGTGGCCTTCCTGGTGGGCAGGTAGATGGGGAGCCAGAGGCCGTGGTGTGTCCAAGCTACATGTTGGCCTTCAACCCCCCCTGGTCTTGCCTCTACTGAGCCCTCAGCCCCCTCCTCCCGGGGTCTTCCAGGAGCCCTGCCCACAGGACAATACTGCAAGGGAGAGCTGGGGAGGGCAGTGGTGTGCGCACAGGGACAGGTCCCCAGCAGAGGAAGACGGCCCTGGGCTGGAGGCTGAGGAGCCCTAAACACCCCCTGCACAGGGCTGGCCTCCTGAGCAGGGCATGAGCAGGGAGAGAAGCCCCCATGGCCCCCAGCCCAGCCCCCATGGCCCCCTGCCTACCGACCCCTCCCACAGCCCCCCTTCACCCCAACTCTGGAGTCCCCAGCAACTTGGTTGGGGTGAGCTGATGGTGAAGCTGGAGCAGGGAAGGTTTGACTTAGGGTGGACTAGACTCCTCAACGCTCCTGGAGAGCCCAACAGGGTAGGGAGGGGTCAGCGGGCGGGAGACACAGCCTGTCCACGTGTGATTCATTTGAATGGCCATCTTGAATCTGTTTCATCCAGTTTCCAATATAAATTTATCTACTTAACATTAAAAAAAAAAAACAGCAAAACATTCTCCCTTCATGCGAGGATTTTCCAGAGGACAGGACGCCCCAGAGTTAGTCTCCCGCCAGCCGCGCCCCTGTGGTCCAGTGCGTCCGCTCCCCCGGCTCCGTGGGCTGCGCTCCAGCTAGGCGCCTTTGCACGCCACGGTCCTGAGAGCCGAAGCCTGGGCGCTTTGGCACCCTCTTTGTCAAGTAGTTGATCACAAACCACCAAGCGATTTTAAAATGCAACCGGGTTTAGAGGCTCATTTTCAAAAATGTTTAGTGTCATTATAGGACATCTGCAGCGGTCACAAAGGAAAGCGCCCGTGTGGGCTGCAGGTTCATTCCCTTGATTACACATCCCCTCTGACACCTGCCTGTAGCCAGCTACTCTGTGTACAGAGCGAAACAGCCGCACATCTGGCAAAGACGCCCTTCCTCCTGGCTGATATCAAGTGGGAACTGTGTGTGCCATATCCAGTTCTCAATGCTAGGTTTCTTAATTCAGTCAAAACACTGTGTTTTTTGCCATGGTGTCAGGATCTTCTCAAATTTGTCTTCTTCTTACCACCATCCAATCAACAAAATTTAGCTGGGCATGGTGGTGCAGGCATGTAATCCCAGCAACTTGGGAGGCTAGGGCAGGAGGATCATGAATACAAGGTCAGCCTCTACAACTTAACAAGACCCTGTCTCAAAGTCAAAAGTATGAAGGGTCAAGGATGTAGCTCAACCCCCAGTACCACACCAAAAACGTTTTTAGCGTTGACATTTTCTTCCTGAGTTTGTAGCGGTCATGACCACCCATCAGGTGTCCCCGTGCCTTACCCAGCGTCCACCATCTGCAGACGGACATCAAAGGGAGGTGGGCATCAATGGGCTTGGTTCCCTCTGGACACCTGATGTGCCTGTCACTCATGTGTGGCTCTTGGGGTCTGCAATGTGCATTCAGTACCTGCCGCTGCACAGAGCCCTGCACTGGTGTCCTTGAAAGCGGTGTCCCCAGCAGTCCTCTTGCAGTGGAACCATGGCCTGTGGGCTCTCCTACACCTGTGTCACTGTCACCACGTTGGTGATCAATGTCCACACCTCAGAGCTTCGGTCTCAGGGTCAAGGTGGCTTGTTTCTCTGCTGCTGCTGCTGGAGGGGCCCCCTGCAGAATTAGAAAAGTGTCACCAAGCTCAACGAAGGGCCAGGCCCCAGGGGAGCCGAGGCGCTCTGCACACTCCCGGGCTGGAGTTCTTACACACATTCTACGTTCTCGGTATGTGTAAATGCCACCAGCCCCACCGCTGGCTGCCGGTGGCCACAGCACAAACCCTGCTTGAGCTCCACAACTTTGGTGGCCCTGAAAGACACTGCCTGCAGCAGGACCTCTGTCATCGACTTCCTGTGGAAGGAGACGTGGCCAGAGACTTGGCCATGCGATGACGCCTGAGTGGCGGCACGTAGCTCAGAAAGACCTGGAAACCTGGGGACCAGGAGGCGGGGACAAAGTGCAGATGATTGGCAGGTGGCCCCGCTTGTTCATCCCTGTCGGGCCTCCTGGTGGGCTCTGGTGAGAACGTGGCCAGGAAGCAGGCTGCTCTGCCCACGACGGGCAGTGGCCTCCCTCCCGCTGCCCTGGACTTGAGCGCACAGGCAGCGTGGCGTGGTGGGGGCTGGAGGCACAGGGTCCTCTCGCCTGGTTCCAACCCAACCACTCCTGGCCCTCCCTGGCATCACCCTCCTCTAGGACAAGGAGTATCTTCACAAAGTTGAGGACCTGAGACCCCAGTGGACCTCTGCTGCCCACCGGCCGTGTGCCTTTGGGGTGGCCAGCCTCCCAGCCTCCCCCTCTCACTCTCCGAGGGCTCACGGAGAAGCCCACTTACCAACACAGGCTCCTGCCTACTGAGGCTCAGGCCAAGGGGCCTGCTCAGGTGACCAGGTGACTCTAAGAAGGGACCCAGGTCCCCTGCCTGTCACCTTGTCACCCAGTACCTGCCGGCCTGAGGGACTGAAAAGGCTCCTCAGAGGCTTGGCCTCAGTCGGAGTGAGCTCAGGTGTTGGGAACCATCCTGAGAGACAGTCATCTTGGCCGAGAGCCACCCCCCCGGGGGGCAGCCCAGGGCCGCAGCCTGCTTCCAACCCTCTGCAGCGTTGGTCATTGCTGTCACCCTCCTGCCCCAGCCCACCACCCCCATCCCCACTGCCCTGGCCCCTTCCCAGTGGGCCCTCCCCTGCCTTGAGCCTGGGCACTGGCCACACTCCTCCTGCCCCTGCTGGGGAGGCCGTGACCCAGCTCTCCACCTCCTAACCCTGGTTTCTGACCCCCGGCGGGAGCTGCCCGACTTGTCCCCACAGTCCTGACCACCACTCAGCTCATCTGGCCATACCCTTAAGGGGTTGGCTGCTCTGGGTGGAGGTCACCCTGTGTCCTCGGCGCAAGGCAGCGGCCCAGCAGGCTCTGGGCTGGGCATGAATGGAGGCGTGAATGGACCATCCTGAGCCTGTTCCCCAGGGAGCTTCCCGCCCAGTCATGGTCAGCAGCACACTCCAGGAGCCAGGCTCTGCGCGGGTGCAGACTCTCAGGAATGCTTTGGCAGCACAAAGAATTCGGCTCAAAGTCCCAATTGGACTTCTTATCTGAAAGGATTGCACAGAACCTTGGAATGTGCTTTGATCCTGACTGGCCCCCAGAGCACAGGCAAGGCAGGCCTGGCCAGGGGCCGCGGGGGGCCTCTGCTCCTGGCTAGCGCAGAGGCTGGGGGTGGGACAGGTCTTCCTGAGGTTGAGGCTGAGCCTTGGGCTCTGGGGACGCTCTCCGGGGGGCCTCCCCTCTCGGGCCTGGTTGGCACTTTGTTGGGAGTTACGGCACCCTCGGCTCTCAGCCAGGAGTGGCCCAGATGTGGGCCCAGTGAGGGCCACGTCCACCAGCCCCAGGGACATCCAAGTTCCCTCTCCTCCTGTGTCTTCCCCACACCTCCAGCCCCGGCCCCCTCTCCAGCTCAGGGCCCTCGAGAGTCTTCAGCAGGGAGCCAGGATTCCCTCTCCAGCTAGAAGGTCCAGCAGAGGCCGACCCTCCCTGCACCGCCAGGCCTAAGAGTTGGAGGAGACAGGGAAGGGACCCTCTTGTCTCAGGTGGCCAGGAGGCCCGAGTGGTGCAGGCGGCCCTGGAGTTGGAAGCTGGACCAGCCCGGCTCCCCGAGCCCTTTGCTCCTGGTGACCCAGGCTCAGCTTTGATCTCCCACCCCAGGCGCTGCCTACCAACGGGAAAAGCTTCTGGCCAGGGTCAGCAAGCGCACGGGCCTGGACCTGGGAGGCTGTTGACTCTGTGCTGTGCTATGAGCCGCTCTGCAGTGGGCTCAGGCCCCGCGGCCACTGGCCTGGGGCCCATTTCTGGCCACAGGAGGACCCTGTTTTTAGCTCAGGTCGTGTGTGATGAAACCCTGTCACGCAGACCCCGGTGACAGGAGTGTCAGCAGGAAGGGAAGACGGGAAGGAGCAGCGTCACCCCGGGCTCCTCTGACAAGCAGCAACGAGCCCCGATGCCCTCCAGGGTGGCAGAAGGATGGGGTGGGAGAACCCTGCTCGCAGGAGCTCACGGGATGGGCAGGACAGGGTCGAGCAGGAACCCTCCTCCTGGCTGTCCTTGGTCAGCGGTTACTCTGCGCTGACCCAGGCTAATTGCCCTTTCTCGCCGATCTCACAGATTCCTTCCACAAAACCAGTGTGGCAAGAGCACATCGCCAGGATTTGGGAGACGGAAGGCCCTGGAGGATCACCAAGAGCCCAGGTGAGTCAAGATTGGAAGCCAGGCCAACTGAACCCAGAGCTGCTCCGTCAGGAGCCCCGGGTGGAGGAGACGGTCCACCAGAGCAGAGCTCCTTCCGGCACAGCAGCGCCAGGGAGCCAGAGGACAGAGCCGGGAGAGGGCTCTGCTCAGGCACCCGCTCCCGGCTCTCCCACATGCTGGGCGTAACCATGTCTGATCTGACTGTGTCCCCACCAGGTTCCGTGTGCCGGGCGCGTGGGCCTCAGGCAATGGTGCGTGGAGGAGGGATGTTTAAGACGTCGGCTCCCTGGGAGGTCCCCAAGTCAACTGGCAGTGCCCCTGGGAAGGAGTGAGAGTTCCCAGTCTCTATGGTTCCCTGTTTGGTGATGTAAGCTCTTCGCCTCATACATGCTCCTGTCCTCCACCATGAGTTCCTCACCAGAGCCAAGCTGATGCCAACAGCGTATCCTCAAATCTCCATGACCTACATAAGCCTTTTTTCCCTTTTTAAAGACAGCCTGCCTTGGGTATTTTGTTATGGTAACAAAAACCAACTTAAACATTGTCTCATAGTTTTCATGCTGAAGTGTGGTTCGGTCATTTCCAACTTCCATTGCCTCCCCCATCAGTCCTGAGGGAAAGGGCCTTCCCTTCTGGTAATATTTGGCATCAGTATCTACCACAAATAGAGCCTCCTCACTTCTACAAATGAGGCTCTGGAGCCTTGAGAAAGTAGACCCGTCATGGACAGAGAGGAACTGATTTGAGCATCGACCATACGCTGGGTATTCTGCAGCACCATCCTCCTTTAATCCAAACCGTGGGTTCGGTGGGGTTACCTTGTCTTATAGGAAGGACTCAGGCTCCAAGGGGGAGCCTGAGTTTGGATTCAAGCCCAAGTTGTGAACCCCAAAGGCCCCAAACCCCCGTCAACACCTTCCACGGGGTTCTCACTTGGCCAAATCTTCTGGGAGGGCCATGTAGGGTGGAGGGGGCACCTATGACACCTCAGTCCTCCCTGCACGGCTGGACTCCGCTTATCAAAAGCAGGGCTCTCTGCAACGTGTCCTTCCCTCTCCGTGTCCATCACGGGGCCAGCGAGGACCAGGTGTTCAGAGATGACCTTAAACCCTCGGAGAATGGGAGTGGGGCAGTGGTGTAAGGGTCCACGCCTTTCAGTGGGGAGGGCCGTGGGCTGCACCTCGGAGCCCCCAGACCTGAGGCTGGCCCTTGCAGCCAGCTGGTGACTGAGCAGGCAAACAGGCCACGACCGACCACAGGTAAACCCAGGTGTGACCCACGCCTCGGGGCCAGACCAGGAGAGCAGCCCGGTACCTCCAGCGGCAGCCCAGAGAGCCTCTTATCCGCACCCAGCCCAGGGGCCTGCAGAAGTCAGCCCACTACCCCTGTAACTGCACCCTCCAGGGGTCGCCCAGACGCCAGGCCCAACTAAAACCCAGCTGCCTCCCTGATCTTTGGGCTTATTCCAACTTAGGAGGAAGCAGAGACTGCCCCACAGGCTTCCTACGCGCCCCAGGGGCGCTTCCACCAGCCCTGCGGCCTCCCCGCTGCAGCCTCCGCCTGGGTCCTCAGCTCAGAGTCCTCCCTGCTCTCCACTGACGTGCCCCTGCCCTCTGCCCGCCTTGCGGTCAATGCAAGTGGTGGTGGCAGCTGTCCTGCTCTGGCCGGCTCTGAATCGTCAGCTTTCCCATTCTTGCTTGCTTGTCTTTGCCAAGGGCACTCACCACCTGAGCCCCCCCCCCCCCCCGGGCTCGGGTCAGTTAGCAGCGTCTGCCATGGCCACAGGCTTGGGGGTCAGAGCACAGACCAAGGACCTTCCCTGCCTACAGCCCTTCAGCTGCATCAGCCAGAGAGGCCCGAGTCGCGGCCCCCTCTGCCTCCCCATCCCAGTGACAGGCAGCCGTAGGGGAGGAGGGGACTGCCCGCCCACAGCGTCTAGCAAGAGGACAGCTCGGGGCTGGGCAGTTTCCACTCTCGCCCCTACTCATACTGGGATGAAAGAGCGAGCTTGGGAGCGTGGAGGGCAGCAGTAGATGTCCCCAGAGTCTGTCCTCTAGACATGAGTCAGCAGAATGGACGAGAGCCGTGGCCAGAGTCCCTTCTGGGCAGTGCTGCCCAGCAAGGAGCCGACTCCCTTAGCACGCTACAGTCAGTGTGTGAAGCAGCCCCCAACAGGGACATCTCCAGGCCTCCGGGCAGGATCAAGTGCCATTCTCAGCCATGGAAGGAGACAGGAAGTGCTGGGAAGCACTTCCGGGTCGAGCACACCCCTGTGGGCACCTGGCTGCCAAACTCCTCTCTAAGGAGCCCTCGGGGAAGCCCTGGGCTGAGCCCTAGGGAGTGGGGAGTATGCTAGGAGGAGTGGTTTCTGAGCCAACGCCAGCAAGCCATTAAGATGATGAGGATTCCTTAATGACTGACTGCTGTGTCTAGATGATGTCAATTAAGTTAAGCTGTGTGTAATTAGTTGGGTATATGTACCTCTGCAGTCCCGCAGAGAAGCGGTTCCTGCTATCTCGGGTGCCCGCTACTTTGAGTTTTCGCTCAGTTCCTGCTGAGTTCACTCACAATAAAGTAGTTCCCGATTCAACCTTCAAGTTGCTTGTCACCTCTCAGTTATTTAACCCAGCCTCAAACTTCCAGTCCTCCTGCCTCAGCCTCCCTAGTGGCTGGGATTACATGGGTGCAACTCTGCAGAAGCATTCTTTATCTTGATGAACAAGGGGACCTTCCTCAGTGTCCCTCAGGAGCAGACAAGAGGGCCACAGTGTGCTGTGCTCATGGCAGCAGAGCAGGCATCTGGCCTGGAAGGCCATTCACGAGAACAGGGAGACGCCTCACTCAGCCCTGCCCAGCACCCTCCTCACCAAGGGAGGGGTCCAAACGGGAAGAGCCGTGAGGCCCAGCGTGCAGGGTGCCCCTCTGCCCCTCCGGCCCCGCTGCCCCTCCGGCCTCGCTGCCCCTCAAGCCTCGTTTCCACACCCTTGGATGAGACAGGACAGAGTGAATGACGAGGATGCTCACTAGGACCTGGAGGTGTCCTGCCACCAGCAGACCCCTCGGAATGTGACCAGCATGCTCAGGCACAGGCCAGAGGGACAGTGAGGGAGCCAGGCCCCAAAGGACCCCAGGGCTCATGCCCACCCTCCCTGCAAGCTGCAGGAGGCAGGGCCAGAGACCCAGGTCCCCTGCTCATGCCCAGACACGGGACAGCACCCAGGACCTGCCCAGCTGGGAGAGCTGCAGCCTGCTCACCAGCGCAGATGTGGCCCCTGGGAGTCCCAAGAGGTGCACGAGAGAGCCAGAAGGCCCCGTGGAGGTCGCTGCCCGTCCCTCTCTGCGTGTCCATGCAGGGCTGTCTGACCGTCAGACCAGGGCCGCGTTTCCTCCCGTGTAGACCTGGCTGAAGTGTGTGAACGTCCACGGTGAGCACACAGGCACTCGGTGGAGAAAAACATGCTTTTAATGAGTGGCCGAGAGAGGTCACCAAGAACCTCTGGAGGGTGGTGGGGCTAACCTGGCATTGGCACTCGGCCAAGGAAGGCCATGAACTGGGCATTGCCTGGTCCTGCCCCAGGAGGGAAGCTCTCCACGGCCAGATAGGGCCACCTCAGTGATCTTCACAGTGTCCCCAGCGACACCCACACAGGCCCAGCTGCTGCCTCCACTCCTGTCCCAGGCCACCCAAGCACATGTCTACCCTGAGCTCTCCCCAGCCACCCTGGCCTGGGGGAGGGGCAGAAGGCCCTGAGCAGGACCTGGCACGGTGGCAGCAGTTAGTTAGGAAAGCTCAGTCTCACCTCGAAGGAGCTGTGAGAGCTGGGCACACCGCCCCTCCCTGGGCCACTGTCCACGTCCTCCCAGCACCAAGATGGAGCCGACTCCTTTGCGGTCCCGCCCAGCCCCAGGAATCCTGTGACTTCACAGGTCATGGTTATTACCCCTGGATAGACCCTGAGACCCAGCACCATGAGCTGAGAATCTGATTCCAGAGCTGAGCACTCCGCGAAGACCCGAGGAACACACCCCCGTGCCAGTCCGGCCTTGGCGCTACTGAAGTCACCCTGGCCTTACATGGAAAACCCACGTCTGCTGGCCTCCCCTGAGCATCTGGGCCTCATTAGGCTCTGGGCCCTGGGTCTGGACGGAGTGTAACACTTATTCCTGCAGCGATGACATGTCTCCCGGCTCTGAGGCACAAAGGCTGTGATCTCCATTGTCCTGAGATGCAGACCCACCTGTGACACCACCGCAGGCCCTGCCCCTGGCCAAGCAGGACCATAGCAAGGCAGGACAGCATGGGACCTGGGGCTGACCGGGCCTAGATCCAAATCAGCTTCTACAAATATAATCCTGAGCGCATTCCTCGGCCCCGTGAGCCCAGAGTCCCCCATGGTCAAGCTTGAAGGGGTTTTTCTGGGTGCTCCGTGGCAAAGGCAAGCTCAGCCCAAGATGCGGGGGAGGCCCAAAGAGCTGGGCAGCGGGCACCCGGGAGCCGCCACGGGCCAGCAAAGGATGCGAGGGTGGGTCATTCCCTGCTCCGTCTCCTCTGGTGTCCATGGTACAGGCATGTGCGCCATCCACCCTGCGGTCCCAGGGACTGCGCCCTGACCGTCCACCGGCTTCGTAGCGTGCCCTGCCCTGGGTGGGTTCTCACACACCTCCCAGAATTTCCTGGGGTCACCTCCAAAGACCCACTCGTGCCTGAGTCTCTACTCAGACTGCTTCTGAGGGAGCCCAGCCGAGGTACTGTGCCCACACTCTCTACGTTTTCCACTCGGTGTGGGCGGTGTGGCATGGGGCCCAGACTCAGGGTGGCCCAGACTCAGAAGCTGGTTGCTGCTTCCCCGCAGTGACTCAACAGGGGGCTGGCCATGTCTCCCCAGGGGCAGTGATGGCAGTAGCAATGACACAGTGGGTTTTGGGTCCCCTTGTTCTCCTGTAAGTTGGCCCCACATGTTCATCCCTGGGGACATGTGGCTTAGAGGGCTGTTGGAACTGGCTTCTTGTGTTCACGTACCTAAAGATCCTGCAGGGTCACTGGTGTTCCGCTGCCTGAGCACATGGCCAAGCACCAATGCTGTGGGTGGAGCGTGGGGCTGCTGGTCGGGGCTCCCAGGCCTCAGTGCTGGGAACCTGTTGGTGACAGGTCTCCGGCACAGGGGAGAGGTGCTGCCGAGCCGCAGCCGGACCCGTTCAACATGCAGCCTGGCTCTAACCACGGGTCCGCGGTTCCCCACCGCACAGAGCCTTGGCATTCCACCCACCTCGTGCCCATTCCTGCCCAGTGAGGCACGAGGGCAGGAGCACTGTCCCCCTGTGATAGACACTCAGCAGCTCGCCAGACCCATGAGCAGCCAAAAGCGGGACACCTGCCCTTGCCTCTTGGGGGCAGGCCTGGCTCTGGGGGGAGGTGACTGCCCGGCTGTACTCCCAAGAACCCAAGGCCAGCCTGCAGGGGCCCAGGGCAACTTGTCCTCTCCGTATCCTCTTTAAGCCCAGGTCGGACTCGGCCAGGCCCGCACAACCTCAGGAGGCCCCTGAGAGGGAGGTACGAGGTTGGAGACCCGACTCGTCCCTCCCTGAGGGGCAGAAGCTGACGTTGGGACCTGCTCCTCCCCTCCCCCACCCCCTACAGAGAGCACTGGCCAGGCTGGGCTCCTGTGGGTGGGGCACAGCTCAGAAGCTGCAACCCCCTTGTGGGGAGAGTTCCAGACAGCCTGGTCACCCTCCTTGAATCCATGCCCTCGGGTGACCCTCCCTGAGTAGGTCACTCAGCCCAGTAGGTGAGACTCACCTGCCCACAAAGGTCACGTGACTGTGCCCTTGGCCCCTCCCCTGTCCCCCTGCCTCCTGGCAGCGGCGGCTGTCAGTCTGAAGAACGTGAGCAGGTCTGGGATCCTCCACCCCTTGGCTGGGTACCTTTGCCCTTCCTCTTCCCACCTCTGAGCCTCAGTTCCCTCCCCAGAGAGAGGGAGTCTGGGGTCTGGAGCCTCCCAGTGCCTAACTGGCCCCACGTCTGTGTGAGCCCTGTGCAGCCTCAGGTGGAACAGAGGACCCTCTGCCCCCGGAGGCCCTGTCCGGCTGAGAGGCTGGTTTCCAAGCCTGCTGTTTTATTCTAGACCCATCTATCTGCCACAGGGAAGGCCACCGCCTTCTGTCCTGGGGGAGAGGCCTGGAGGTGTCCCCTGTCACCCGGGAGAGCACTATGATGAGCAGGGGACATCCAGCCCAACAGGGGAACATTCCAAAATGTCCAGGCAGTGAGGAGGTGGAGCAGGTGGGGCCTGTGGCACATCAGGGGGAGGAGCCTGCGGCCCACCGCAAAGGAGCCACGAGAGGACACACGTGGCCGGAGCTGCAGAACAGGGGCCTCCAGCAGGAGCCGAGGACCTAGAAGGCAGCGGGCCTTCGCCAGGACTCAGCAGGCAGGAAGGCAGACCCAGGGCCATCTGTGTGTCATCTGGCCAGGGGTCGCCTGCCAGGACCAGCTCCATCAGGAGCCCGAGGAGTGGAGGCCTAGACACCAGCTCCCCAGGTCACTGAGCAGGAAGGGGTGGGGTCCGAGCACCCACGGGAGGGGCACGAGCTCAGAAGCTGCGACCCCCTGGTGGGGAGAGTTCCAGACGGCCTGGTCACCCACCTTAAATCCATGCCCTTGGGTGACCGCTCCCTGAGTCTGGGCAGAATTAGCCAACAGACTATGGAGAAGGGAGGGTGGGTCCCTTCTGAGGCTACATTACTTGGGACCTTGACATCCATCTCCCTGAACATGGGCCCCGGCTGGCTTGGCTGAAGCCAGCTGCCATTCTGGGGAGCCCTGGTGGCCATGAACTGGGACACCCAGCCAGTGGCCTGCAGGAAACAGAAGCTCTTGATTCTACATCCACAAGGAGTTGAGTTCTGCCAGCGGAGAGTCTGGGAGCCAATCCTTCCCAGGCTTCCTGGGTCTGTGTGGCCAGGGGCAGCAGCGCCTGCTAACTGATGCGCGACTTGGACCCACAAGTGGAGCTGTTAAAACAGGTGCCGGCTGAGCATCCTCCACCAGAGATGCTCAGGACCAGGGTGTTTCAGGTTTCAGAGTTTTCCAGATGGGGGGAGATTGTCCTAGACTTTCCCTGCTGAGTATCCCTGATACAAAAATCTAAAATACACTGAAATCTGAACTTTGAGCCTCATCCTGGTGCTCAGAAAGTTCCCAATTTCAGAGCATTTCAGATTCGGGGTTTGGGGATCAGGGACGCTCAGTCTGACCTGGACATGCGACAGTGTCTTCAGAACCAGACAGGGAAACAGATTCCAGGGATGGAGGTAGAGGACTCAGTGCCTTGATCAGACGAAGTGGTAGACTGCACTGGCCGGTCACTGCCCCAGGCCGGGGGACGAGGAACGCGGTGCTGGAAATGAGGAGGGAGTCCCCCCAACACACACAGGGGAGAAAGTTCTGCAGCTGCGTGGGTCTCGCTGCAGGATGCGGGAGGTGTTGAAGGCACAGCTGTGTGGCCAAAAGGAACCAGAACTTGATTTTGAAACTCCTCTGCCTGTGGGATGGCAGGTGGTGCTGTTGTGGCCACAAGCAGACACCAGGACAGCTCTGCCCAGAGAAGGCCGCCAGCGAGCCTGGCCACCCTGTGGCTGGAAAGGCCAGGACAGAGAGCGTGTCTGCCTCCCGGCCTCCAGGGAGCTGGGGGTGCGCTTGGCCTCCCCAGCAGAGCCCACACTGGAGAGAGTTTGCGGCAGGAAGACCCCCACACACACAGCTTTTCCAGGGGTGTGACCCCAGGGGAGGCAGAAACACCTCTGAAAAGGACTTCAGCTGCAGACAGCAATGCTGGGGGCCACGGAGGGCCACTGGGCCATGCAGCTGTGACATCCACCTGGGCAGGAGAGGGCACCCCCGAGTTCTCCTGGCAGGAGCAGCCTGGCTAGCCACTCAGCTGTCCAGGAACACCAGGGGAACTCAGGGCTCAGAACCCAGAGCCCAGAGAGCAGAGCCAAGGGCCAGGGGCAATCATTCCTGTGACTGCCAGTGCCAGGGGGCTTCCCTGCCCAGGTGGATGTCACAGCTGCATGGCCCAGTGGCCCTCCATGGCACACAGCATTCCTGTCTGCAGCTGCCGTCCATGCCCTTCCACCATGCTGGGCATGGTCGGGACATGGGTCACTTGCCTCTTTAGACTTCAGGATGGCAGCCACGGAGCCTCCTCCACCCCCAGGCCTGCTTTGGACCAGGGTTTCTGCACTCCCACTCCGATCGGGTGCTGTCATGGCTCCCCCGGGAGCTCTGAGAAGGAAGGATGTTTTGCGTCCAGGAGGCATGAGCATGGGGCTCCAGAGAGACAGACTCTCCCGAGGTCTCTGCCATCCGTGCTCCTGGAACTTGTGCCCTCTGCCATCCTCCACTTGTGCGGAGGCAGGACCTGTGACTTCCTGCAGCTCCTAGGATACGGCCAAGGAAGGCCACCTCCTGATTGCCTCACATGACACGGCAGCACCGTCTTGCTGGCAGACCCCCACCTCGCTGGCCCCTATGAGGAAGGCTATGCGTCAGAGAGGCCTGAGGCCAGCCTCCCCAGCCACTGGCTAGGTCCGAAGGCCTCAGTGTGACAGCCTGCCAGGGCCCAGACCTTCCCAATGGCCACATGAGCTTGGCAATGGATCCCCCCAGTCAGCCTGCAGACGAGCAGCCAGCGTGGCCAACTGCGTGACCTGCCAGGCCAGGCCAGGGTGCTTCCCACAGACACCACAGGGTACTACCCGGGTGTTGCCCTCACGTGCTGGTTTGGGTGCAAAACCCAGCACCAGGTGACTGGCTTAGATGAGGCCTTTGCACACCTGGAGAGCCGGTGCACAACGCTGAGCACTTGAAATAAAACCACCTGGGGTTTCAAGAACCGTGTTAAGACTGCAAAGTGCTGTAGGACTGCAGGAGAGCCCTGAGGCTCCTGGAACCGTCGGCAGGAGTGAGAGCAGACCCAGGAGCCCGGGGCCCTGTGCTGAGCAAACCCACCCAGGTAGACGAGGCTGCCCCTCCTATGTCCAAGTCCAGGGAAACAGGAGGGTCTCCAGCTCAGCTCAGGGCTGCAGATCGTCAGCATGATGACCAGTCATGATGCTGCTCCTGGCTGTCTCAACGCTGGCCTCCGCCGTGGCCTAGAGAAACATTTGGGCTTTGGATGAGCACTTGGTCAGCTCTGGCCACCATGGCAAATAGCACATTTGGCTTCCCCAGGAGACGTGTGTGGCTCCTGCCCTGGAGGCTGGCCGCCCAGGAGTCTGGGTTCTGGCGAGGGCCTTGTTCCCACCCCACCGATAACCCTTCTCATTGTCCCCCAGTGGGGGAAGGGACGCAGAGAGACTGAGACAGAGAGAAACAGAGGCAGAGAAACGGTGGCCAAGAGAGAGAGAGAAACAGGAGCTGAAGAGAGGGACTGAAAGGCGGGGAGAGGAGACAGAAAGACACAGAGAGGGCTTGTCTCTGACAAGGACACTGATCCCACCACCAGGGCTCCTCCCTAGTACCTCTCTGATCACCTCCACAAAGGGTCTGTCTCCAAATGTCACCAACCAGGAGCTGGGGCTTCACCACATGAACCTGGGGGACCCGACTCAGCCCTTAATTACACCCACCACCACCTGCAAGGGGCGGGGGGCTCTCTCTGCATCAGCCCCAGACAGCGTGTGGCCTGGGGCAAACCTTCTGTCACAGGACAGAGAACCGCTAGGTCACTTCTCCAATGTTCCCCGGTGCCCCTGCACACCCAAGAGCAGTGGTGTTCTGAAGGAGAACGGGCCATGGTGAAGTGGGTTTGGGGCAACTGGAGGGACCCCTCCAAGGCTGTGAGCCATGTGGCAGGGAGGACACCCAGACACCGTGGGGACAGCTCTCCTGCTGGACAGGGGGAGGGCAGTTCTTCCCACCCAGAATGCACAGGGCCACTGTCCTGCAGGGTGCAGCCAAAGTGGGTCAGAGCTGGCCCCCTCCTGCAGACGGGGGTGCCCCGGGAGCCCAGGCGGCGCTGACTCACACTTCCCGAAGCCAGTCCCTGCCTGATTCACGTTTTATTGCTGTTTTATTGCAGGACTGAGAGGTCACCTCTCCTGCCAACCCCTGAGCAGCCAAAATGAGCAGCGTTTTCCTTCCTCCAGGAACCTGAAGGGCATCCGAGGTCCAGCGGCACCGAGCTCCCCGCCTGAGCTCATCACCCCAGGCAGCCAGCACAGGGCGAAGCCAAGGGAAGGACCTGGAGCTTTGCCCTGAGCCCCAGGGCAGAGGGAGCCCTCACACTAGGAGCCTGTGCCTCCAGAGGCCACCTGCTTGTCCCACAAGCCCAGCCCCTGGGCTCAGAGCAGCACCCACACACCCAGCCAGACGTGCCCCAGGCCTCTCCGTGCAGAGGAGCCTGCAGAGTGTTGTAGAATGACCGCGCTGGGCACACGCTCCCTCCTACCTGGGGCGGCACATCACCACCAGAGCCTGGAACACAGCTGGCCTCCAAATAGATACAGCTGAGCTCGCTCAGACATGGTGGCCCTGGCAAAGAGACGGGCCCCAGCCCTGCGGCGAGAGCAGCCAGGCAGAGGGGGAGACACGGTAAGGAGCAAGGGGACCCAGGACACCCTGAGCCAGCCTGCCCCCCCTCCCCGCCTCTGACTGGCTCCTGTGAGAGCCCGTCAACCCTTTCCTTATCCATCTCAGAATCTGTGAAATAGGAGCAGGGAGCGTTTCCCTCCAGAGCAATGAGGTCCTGGAGCCTTTGAAGGAGCTACTGGGTGGCACAGGGTGGCCCCCAGATTTCCCTTCAAGAGGGACACACTGCCCAGCATGGGGTAAGCCTGGGCCCACAGGGCTGCTGCCTCTGGGCTCACCTGCTTTCCCACACAATGTAGCTGCATGGGAGGTCCAGTCACTGCGTGTGACACAGGACACTCAGGCAGGGGACGCCACATAATGCAGGACACTTGCTCTGGGGCTCCTAGTGAGACGGGACAGGGTCTCCTGGGGCCTGCCCCAGAAGTCAGCCACCTTTCCTGCCCATCTTAGTCCATCAAGGGGCACAGCCAAGACCAGCCCTGGGCCTCCACACACAGCAGGAAGCTGCCTCCCAGCTTGGAGGCCGGAAGACCAACGTCAAGGTGTGCAGGCGGGGTGGCAGGTGGAGGCCCGCCCCACCAATGACAACTTGAGGTGGCACCCTGGTGTCCAGACATGGAAGAGCAGAAGGGGGGATTGAAGCCTCTTGCGAGGCCCTGGCTGGGTGCAGACCTTTTAGTATAAAAAGGGCCACGCATCTTCACATCGGCTCCCTCCTCCAGCACAGCCCCGGCTTCCGGAGCATCTGAGACCACCGCCAGGAAAGGCAGAGCACACGTGGGGTTGGGCACTGGGCATTCAGGGCCGGTCACTGCTGAAGGGTGTGGCATCCACTGTTTTAGCCAGCTGTTTCCCTGCTGTGACGCGGGGGCCCGACCAGAACAACGTCAGGAGGAAAGGTTTATCTGCGGGCTCAGGGTCTCAGAGTCTTCGTCCATGGAAGGCCGTCCATTCCTCAGGGCTCCAGGTGGGGCAGAGCCTCATGGTGGGAGAGGGTGGCCGAGGGGAGCAGCTCACATCACGGACAGGAAGCAGGGGGAGCTCCACTGGCCAATTACAAATATAGACTGAAGCCAGGCCCAGGTCCCACCCCCAGCCGCACCCTAGCACCTCAGTTACTACTCAGTCCACCCCCATCGGGGATTAATCCACTTGGTTGGGTTAAGACTCTTACAACCCAATCACTTCTCCTCTGAACCTTCTTGCATGTCCCACATGGGAGCTTCTGGGGGGCACCTCACATTCCCACTGTAACGCTCACCCATGCAGAACTGTGGTCCACTTGTTACGACTTTGGACAGGGAGGAACTGGGGGGTGACTATGGGAGAGACAGAGAATGCCCAGGCCCATGCCCAAGACTCAGCGTTCAGAGGGACAACCTTAGAGCTGGTCAAGCCAGGCAGGTCTGCTCAGGACACCTTGGACCACCCAGAAGAGTTTCACTCCCCAGTGCCCTCGGAGCCCACGGAACCTGCAGGTGTAGCCGCCTGAGCCTGGGAAAGCTGCACCACCAGACCCCTGCCCCTGTGGAGGCCTCTCCCTGAGACATGGCACCTGCCTGCCTATAACTAGGGTCAGGTGACATCGTGGCTGATGCCTTATCAGCCATGCAGAGAGAATGAGCCCAAAGCAAGGAGGCACCTGGGCACAGTGGACCAGGGGCCAGGGGGGAAGGGCACGTGTGATTAGGTCCCCAGAGTGAGGGAGCCAGGAGCCAGGTCATGGAATCATATGGGGTCAACGTGACTTGGGCACATTCTCCCAAGACGCAGGACGGGTACCCTGGCCAGGAAAGCACACCAGCCCCTTGGAGGTACGCAGTGAAGACCCACAGCTCCTGAGGGCCATCTGAAGAGAAGGTTTCATGACTCTGCAAAGCAGCCTGCAGAGACTGAGAACCTGAGCAGGGACCCCAACCCTCAAGGCCTGGAGTCCGAGCCCCTGCCATAACCTCTCAAAGGTCCCGCTACTCCCCAGACCTGCTGGGAGCAGTGCTGGGCACGAGCTGGCTGCAGGACCCAGGTCCCCCATGAGGCCTGTGCCTCCCACACCTGCCACACACGCTAGCTGCTGGAGGAGGTCCCCCCACGCTGGGGTGGTCCCCAATGGCTGTTTCCAGTCCTGTGAGACTGGGTAGCAGATTCCCTCCGGCTCACCCTGGCGAGGCCCTGAATGACCACAGGGCAGGCCCTCTGGCTCCTCCCCTGGCCTGGCTGGGCCGACTCGGGTGCTCCACTCCCAGCTCCCTCCACCCTCCACGCAGGAGAGACCAGGCCCAGCCTGGGAGGCCTGAGGTTTCCTCAAGCACTGACTGCAGGGCCGTGTCCATCTCCTGGGAAGGAGCCTCTGAGACTGCGTCTGCAGCACTTCCCCTGCGTGGCGGGGCCTCATGGAACCCCAATGCCACTGCGTCCGTCTACCCGGCATCTGTGTCCCCTGAACCTATCTGCACGGAGACCTGCGCTGCTCCATGTCTGGTGAGCTCAAGAGCCATCCAAAAGCAGAGCCTGTCCCACCACAAGAGGGGGAAGGCCCATGGCTCGAGCTGATCCAGCCTGCCCCAGATTCCCAGCCCCAGGGCAGAGGGCGGTTCCTCCCTTCTTCAAGGCTTAGACCCAAGTAGCTAGCAGTAGAGTAGCGGCCCCCCAGCCCTGGCTCCCCACAGTTGAGTCAGTCCTGGTGAAGGCCCAAGGTCACGTCCAGCCACAGCTGGACCCTGACTCCTGAGGTCTGGCCCAAGAGTACAGTCTGTCTCCAGGTGACAGAGGAGAAGCAAGCGTGGCTGGCGGTGGGATGTGGGGAAGGCACCCCTGTCCGTCCTCCTCCCTCCAGGGGTCCTGAGGCCTGGTGCCATGCTTTGCAGTACAGGCCAGGGACCCCTGGGGCTTCAGGCCAGGCCCCAGGCCTATCTAGAACCTTCTAGATGAATCCTCCCCCCAAGCTTGGGCAGGTGGGAGGGGCTACCACAGCACTTCCAGAGTTTAAGTATCTAGGAAGTGCCTGGCTTCACGCATTCTCTCAGCCGCCCATTGTGCAGGTGGGAAAACTGAGGCTGGGTCCAAGAGGCATTTGCACAAGGCTAGGACCCGTCCTTCGAGTGTCTGACACCAGAGCGTGGTCCTGCCCTCACTTCCACTGAGTCGTCTCAGAGCCGCCTTGCCCCTCGCACACTCAAACAGGCGCCTGGCAAACTGTGGTGCGGCCAGCTCACAGCCCCGGGGCCTGCTGACGGCTCTGCGCTGGAGAAGCTCCCGTGGCTTCAGGGGCAACCAGGGACACCCACCCTCAGAATGTGTGGCCCTGGACGGGCAGGTTCCTGCTGCACCCCAGGCCTGGCTCAGGGCAAGCCCACTTGTGTCTGGGCTTTGGGGTGAGTGCCCGCTTCAATGGGCACAAGGGCACCAATGGGACAAGGGTACAGGAGGGCTCCCAGATCAGCCCCAGTCCCTGGGGCGGGGACCTACCGAGGAGCAGGCCTGTGGCCCGACTCATCCCCTCCCTACAGCCCAGCCCCCCTGGCTGCCCAGAGAAGGAGAGGGAAGGGGCATTTCCTGAACACGTTTGGAGGAAGGGAAAGTGTGCAGGCCCTCCTCAAGGGGCCCCCAGACCTCGCCCTTGCCGGCCAGGAGCTGGGGTCCCTGCAGGGGGCAGCACCCTTCCTTGCCTGGCCCCTCTTGCTCCTCCTCCTCAAGTCCTTCTTGCCTTCTGCCCCTCCTGTCCCCCTGGAGAATCTGCTCCCAGCCCAGCTTCTCTTTGGACAACAGGGAGGCCGGTCCCTGAGGAGCTGGCCAGGGAGGGGTGCAGGCCAGGTCTCTGCCACCAACAGGACACTGCCCGGCTCTGCTGGCCTGGAAGGCTCTCCCGGCAGTCTTCCTCACTCCTCCGCACCCTCCAAGGGACCACGAGACAAGGCCCAGCCAAGAGCCAATCTGGGAGGTGCACCAGGCAGAGGCAGCAGCAAATGCCAGGCCCCAGGCTGCTGCGCCTGAGGGAAAGGTGCCCAGGGGGCCATGGGACACTGTGAGGGGGCAGACCAAGCCAGAGAGGTGTGGCTTCCTCCAGGTCCCCAAGCCAGAGGTGCCCTCCTCCTGTCCTGTCAGACACACCCAGGCTCACACAGGGACACCTCTTGCCTGAGTGGAGAGCTTGTGTGCCATGCCACTGACCATGACACCCGCCCAACAAACGCACATTGAGCACCAGCTGTGTGCCTCGAGCTGGGAGTGGGGGCTCAGCAGGCTCCAGCCAACAGCCTCCTATGGGGAGTCCCAGCAGGGCAAGGGCCAAGGTCATCTAACTCCATCCTGAAGCGTCTCCAACTCACACTTTGGGTGTGTTCCCCGGTGCAGGCTAATGTGGGGAGCCCACTGTGACAGATGGCTGGCAGCAGATCTCAGGACATGCTGGGGCGTTTGCACAGGACCCCCCCATAATGTCTGTAGATGTTTGGGTACACAGCAGGCGCTTAAGGCTGCTCCCACCAGAGCAGGGAAGGCTGTGGAGACAGGCTCTGGGAGGAGCGTTGGGGTCCATGGGCTCAGCAAGGCTGGGCAGGGGAACTGGGCTGATCCTCAGGACAGTGAGGAGCCCGGGCAGCAGTATCCAGGACAGGTCATCTCACAGACAGGAAGGGCTCTCACCTGGCCTCACGACCCTCCCCCGGATCAGCTGGCTTCCTCAGTGACAGTCCAAAACAAGCACAGAAGTTGCGCAGCCACATGGAGGGGGCTGACGGGGGCACGCAGCGTCACACAGTGACGGCTCACACCAACACAGAGGCAGGTCATCAGCCCAGGGCCCCCCAGTCGCCCCACTCCTGGGCGCCCCATCCAGGAGCGAGCCCAGAGCAGCACCCCAGGACACCAGCAGGTGGCCTCCGGGTGCACCAAGAGAAGGCAAGGCACCCGGGCCACCGCCCCCCAGAGCTGCCTGCCGAAGCAGCTGGGTCCCAGCAGCCTCACTGGGGCCACATGGAGAGGCTGGAGACTCAGAGCAGGCACTGAAGGACGGGTTTCCTGGAGCCGGTGCAGGAAAAGCCCCAGGGCTGAGGAAAGCCTGGTGGAGGGGGAGAGTAGCATGCCATGTCCACGGGACACTGCCCAGCCTGCCTGACTGCCCCCTCGCAGGCCGGCCCCCTCGCTCCTGCCCCTCCCTCCGGTGGCTTCTCCAGCCAGGATGGTGGTGAGGCCGCCCAGGGCTGGCCCAGGTGAGGGAGCCCACTGTTGGCAGGGGCAGCTCCAAGATGTGATTCTGCAGTCAGAGCCCTGGGAGGCTCCGGGCCTGCAGGATTCCCAGAGGACAAAATCACTCAATTCTAGACTAATTGGCATTAAATTGGACATCCTAGTGGAGAAGGTTGAATTCCAAAGTATCATTAAGCAAAACACCCACCACAGCTGAGGAGGGGGCCGGAGCCAGTGGAAGGCCTTTCTCTGGACCAGAGAGTGAGACGCTTGAGGAGTGGGGGAGTGGACACTGATCTTGCCCTGCCTGGGCCCGCTGCGCTGCCCCCTGTGTGGCCCCTCTCACCTCCTGGGTCTGTTTCTGCCCCTGGGTAGGTCTGCCCTTCCCCTCGGCACCCTTAAGAGGAGTCTCGCTGCAGCTGTATCCAGGACAGAGTCCAGGCTGAGTCTCGCTGCTCCGTGCCTTTGGGGGTAGGATCTGTTCTCAGGGGCCACAGCAGGAAAGAGAGGGTTCCCACC